ATATATATATATATATATATATATATATATATATTGAATTTTCATTTCGTTTGTCTGAATTCCAATGGAAAGCCTTTGCGGAACACATTTGGCGAAATGCTACCTAAGACAGTTGGATTGAAGAGCTGTCATCTTTAATGGGATTCTGATATGTATTTATGCACCGTATCTATGCATGTATGACCTAGTCCGTACTTTTGTCTGAATTCCAATGGAAAGCCTTTGCGGAACACATTTGGCGAAATGCTACCCTAGACAGTTGGATTGAAGAGCTGTCATCTTTAATGGGATTCTGATATGTATTTATGCACCGTATCTATGCATGTATGACCTAAGTCCGTACTACTAAGAGCCCAAAAATATGTAGCTACCTATTGCTTCGTAAATTCAAATCTTCAACCATGTAAAAGTAGTCTATAACCTGAGCTAGACTAGTCAGTTTTGACAGAGAGAGTTTACGTAGGTACTTTTGTGGCTTACTGTTCTGAAGCGACATGCCAGGTGAGGTTTCTTAACACTTCTTTCAGGAAGTGACCCATACTTTTAAAGGCTATGATGAAACAGTTGGATGCAATCTCATAAGGGGACTGATAGGAATAGTCTTTGGTGTCTTAGTGGACGTAATAACTGCAATGTCTGCTTGGGTACCTAACGCGGTAGCAGAAAAAATCATTATCTCTGCTCATTTCAGAAGTGTACCGTATGCGGAAAAATACCCATAATTAGGTCAACCATCGGTGTGTGCCCAAATTTGATTTGTACTCTTTCCGGCTGTCTCGCCAGACAGTGCGCACTTTCAGATACTAGCCTACAAGTTGTACCAAAGTGGGTTTATCGCATACTTTATTTGACAGTCTCTAACCATTCTTTCCATCCTGGGACACATGAAACTGACAAGAGAACTGTATTCACTGGTTCCCCGAGAGATGACACTAAATGAGCTCCACTGATGAACCATAGCGATAAACCTTACGTGTCGACCTTGTTTTGTATGCGATTCCAAGGCTGTCTTTGATGGTCATTCGTCTGCTTTTGTAGCCACTTTGGTACTCTGGTATGGTAAAATGATAATCGTTCAACTGTAACACCCTTTCGAGGTGAATACCCACCGTACCACCCAAAGTAAGTACGATGGCTGAGATACTGCCACGTTGCCCAAGCTTAGGCAGGAACACTTAAGATACCGTGGTTTGAATCGAACCATGCACTTTCGGGTCAGCGAGTTCGCGACTCTGAGCTATCTCGAGCTATTTATGTTGAACTTTGTGTATCGATTTCTCCGCCCATCTTATACAAATGACCCGTCACTAAATTTCTGTTGTCGACAATACCATGGTAGTTGAATCTGCATACTAGCTGCTTATCTGTCAGACCATTTACATAGACAGCATGCAACTGTATTTTGTTGCACAGTCTGAGCCACTAGGATAAGCATGCATTAGGGGAAAATTGCTGGTAACATGTCGACCGGACAG